TTTTGAGAATTGCCATGTACTTCTTGAGAATTACTATGTACTGTAGAAGTACAATGCACTGAAGTAGAGCATTGTGGGGAATATAAAAAAGTATTAGAGGCTGGGTGTGGTGGCTCATGCCTATAATCCCAGCATTTTGGGAGGCTGTGGCGGGCGAATCATCTGAGGTCAGGGGTTCGAGAGCAGCCTGGCCAACACGGTGAAACCCCGTGTCTACTAAAAATACAAAAATTAGCGAGGCGTGGTGGCGGGCGCCTGTAACCCCAGCTACTCAAGAGACTGAGACTGGAGAATTGCTTGAATCCGGGAGGTGGGGGTTGTAGTGAGCAGAGATTGCGCCATTGTACTCCAGCCTGGGCAATAAGAGCAGAACTCCGTCTCAAAAAAAAAAAAAAAGACAAAAAAAGGATTAGATATAATTCCTGTCATTAAGGAGCTTATGCTATAGTTGGGGGAGATACAACATACACTATAAAAATATAATAAGGAATATATGTATTTGACAATATAAAATTTAATACAATATTTAACATTGATGGGGTCTTTAGGAGAAGATGGGATTTGATCTGGGTACTAAAAGATGATGAGGCTGAAGGTTCATAGGCATTCTTGGATACAAAAGAGCGAAAATATAGAGGTGTACAGGGGTAGGGTGGTAGATACTTGTTTGTCTAGCATAAAGCTTTTTATTTTTATTTTTTTATAGAAATGGGGTCTTGCTATGTTGCCCAGGCTGGTCTGGAACTCCTGAGCTCAAGGGATCCTCCCACCTTGTCCTCCCAAAGTGCTGGGATTACAGGTATAAGCCACCACGCCCAGCCTGATGTAGAGCTTTATTTAGGACACCTATGGGGGCATAAGACCAAAAAGGTTGGTGCCAGTCTGTGAAGAGTCTGGAAAGCCTGTCCTTCTCCTCAGCTCCACCCACTTCATAGCCTTACCAAAAGTGCTGCACAGCCAGAAAGAGGAAGTCTCCCCTGCTGAGTGTGCAAGAGGAAGCACAAGAAGGCTCTGAGGGCCTGTGAGCCATAATGACTGATTTCACCCATGAGCCAATTGCAGAGGAAACAGAAGACCAGCGCACCAACCACGCTGGGTCCCTCTGCCCAGAGGGTGTCACCACCTAAGCTGAAAGTGTTTGGGGAGATCAGACGTTGCTGTCTGGTGCTCCTCTCTCTTAGTGGCCATCATGTCTTTGACATCTGCTTACCAGCATAAATTAGCAGAGAAGCTCACTATCTTGAATGATCGCGGTCAGGGGGTTCTCATCCGTATGTATAACATCAAGAAGGTAAGCATGAACAATGGGACCAGTCCTGATTATTCCAACAATAATAGGGCGGGGAACTGTGAGGAGGCAGGTGCAGTGGTTAGACTCCCCCCTTCTTCCACTGCTTTTCCACTGACTATAATCTACATAATCACTCAGATTATATAGGCCCGCCAGTTCAGGAAGGCAGAAGTGGAGGCTTCTTTTCAAGGCTTCCCCTTTCTAGGTATGATTCTCACCCCAGTGACGGCATCTGCTTTCCTCTGGGGATGGGGGTGAGGGTGGGGATGGGGAAACAACAGTTGTGTTCTGAGCGACTTGGATAAAGGTCTGGGGTCCAACCTTCTGGGTTTTATTATTTATTGCTGATCCTTTACACTCTGAAGAGATCTGAAGCTGGGTCTCTGGCAAAAACTTTTCTGTGAAAGTACTTCCCTAAAAGGAAAAAAAAAATAGATAATTAGATATTTAGATTAAAAAGGGTAGGTGTCTTCTGAGATGCTCCTGGGGTAGTTTATGCTGCGGTGGTTTTGTGTGTGTGTGTGTGTGTGTGTGTGTGTGTGTTTGTTTTAGAATAGGAACTGAGGAATTGAAAGAAGCTGGTGACAAGAGGTGGGCCAGGGGCTGGGCAAACCATAGAAAGTAAAGAGATAAAGACAGGGGTGTTTATGGGGAGTTCCTGGCATAGAAAATAGGGGACTTTGGGGGAGGGAGCTTTTGTGTCTTTTGTAATAAAACACATCACCAGGAACATGGTTTCTTGTTGTCACGAATTCTGTAAATGCCCTTTGGGATAAGATACTTACTCAGTGAACAAAACTGTGACACTGAATCTTGTACAAAGTCTAACTCCTGAGCAGCTGCTTTTCTCGTTCCTTCCGGTTTCAGTTGAGGGGCGGGGAAACAGCTTCCTCTTTGTACTGGGGCCAAGCAGACATTAAACTCTACCCATCAAGACAAAATGCCCAGGTTGTTATTAAGTTCTTACATACTTGCCTTAGTGTCTTGGACTTTTTTCTTGACCTACTCTCATACTTTTAATATTTATTTATTTATTTATTTATTTATCGGAGTCTCGCTCTGTCGCCCAGGCTGGAGTACAGTGGCACGATCTTGGTTCATGGCAACCTCCGCCTCCCGGGTTCAAGCGATTCTCCTGCCTCAGCCTCCCGAGTACGTGGGACTACAGGCGTGTGCCACCACGCCCAGCTAATTTTTGTATTTTTAGTAGAGACAGGGTTTCACCATGTTGGCCAGGCTGGTCTCGAACTCCTGACCTTATGATCCGCCCGCCTCGGCCTCCCAAAGTGCTGGGATTACAGGTGTGAGCCACTGTGCCCGGCCTCTTATGCTTTTTAAATTGATTCCCAGGTTGCCTTTTCCTAAGACAGATTATGAGAATGAATGTTGCAAGAAGAGGT